AAATGAACTTTATGGGGGGGGGGGGGCCTGTAAGGGAACAAGGTAGGAAAGGGGGGAGAGGCCATGTTGGGAGGCCGTGATGTTGCCAGGCAGTGGGTGGCAGGTTCCCGTACCGTGGCAGGTTGGGTCGGTTCTGGAGGACAGGGTCCTAATTCAAAATGATCTGGACAAATTGGAGAAATGGTCTGAGGCAAACAGGTTGAAGTTTAATAAAGACAAATGCAAAGTGCTCCACTTAGGGAGGAACAATCAGTTTCACACACACAGAGTGGGAAGCGACTGTCTGGGAAGGAGTACGGCAGAAAGGGATCGAGGGGTTATAGTGGACCACAAGATAAATATGAGTCAGCAGTGTGATGCTGTTGCAAAAAAAGCAAACCTGATTCTGGGCAGCATTAACAGGTGTGTTGTGAGCAAGACACGAGAAGTCATTCTTCTGCTCTACTCTGCACTGGTTAGGCCTCAATTGGAGCATTGTGTCCAGTTCTGTGCATCACGTTTCAAGAAAGATGTGGAGAAATTGGAGAGGGTCCAGAGAAGAGCAACAAGAATGATGAAAGGTCTAGAGAACATGACCTATGAAGGAAGGCTGAAAGAATTGGGTTTGTTTAGTTTAGAAAAGAGAAGATTGAGGGGGGACATGGAAAAAGTTCCTAGCTGTCAGGGTGGTCAAACACTGGAATAAATTGCCCAGGGAGGTTGTGGAATCTTCATCTCTGGAGATATTGAAGAGTAGGTTAGATAAATGTCTATCAGGGATGGTCTAGACAGTATTTGGTCCTGCCATGGGACAGGGAATTGGACTCGATGACCTGTCGAGGTCCATTCCAGTCCCAGTATTCTCTGATTCTATGATTCTACCCTGGCTGCTGGTGGGTGATGGCCAGAGTTGCTTCCAATGGTGTAAACTTTGTGCACTGGATGCCGTCCCAATGGTACGGGCCCTCCCGCCACTGCCTGGGGGAAGCAGGAGCTCTGGGCCTGGGTCACGGCTCTTGCTACCAGGAGACAGTACACATCCTTTGGAGTCTATTCCACTTGCTCCCTCCCTGGGTTCTCTGTGGCTTTGCCATCAGCTGCTTCAGTCTCTCTGCAACCTTTAGACACGTTTCTTCCGTGTCATCGCCCGCCTCGGCGTACAGCTCGTTGGTGTAACATCGGCCCCCGTGCTCCCGCACCATCCCCTCAGCTATTCGCATCAGCTCTGTAACCTGCCAGTCCCGCTCCGCCCCCGTGGCTCTGTTGTCGAAAGCGCAGTAGCGGTCCCTGCAGGCTGCAATCAGCCCCCGCAGGTCCCTGTTATCCGTGTGTGTCACGTAGTCAGGCAGCGAGCTACCCTCTAAATCATCTTTCCGGGTGAACAAGACGATCATGTGCCTCATGGCCCCCGCTCCGAAAACCTCTCGTACTCGGCTCACGGCCTCCCTGTCCTGTGCAGTGTAACGGCCCAGCTGGGTCACCAGCAGCAGCGCGTGGGGGCCCGGGGCGGAGAGCACGATACAGCGACTGAGCTCTCGACAGGTTCCCGCATCACGGGCCGCTGGGCAGAAAACGTCAGGCGTGTCGATCACCACAACCTCCCTCCCGCTCCAGCGCATGCTCCCTGCCGCGCACGCCTGAGTCACTGGCTTTGCTCCCAGCCTGGACTCAAACTCCTTCTTGCCAAGGAGGGTGTTTCCGGTTGCACTTTTCCCAGCTCCTCCCTTACCCACAAGGATGAATTTCCATGTGTCCTGGCTGCCCCCTCGCGCTCCTGTTGGGAGGAATTGCAACGGATTTAGTACGGCATTGCACGGGTATAAAGAAGAGGTGGTGAGTTTAGGCGTACTCTTAACTAAAAGTATGTACAGGGTTATAAACTGGCATTAAAACCGACTGCCTGAGTGCCAAGCCCTTGGGAACCAATGGATTTTAGGTCTCCAGGGAAAAGGGCAATTCCACCACCACCGTCTCGGCGCTTAGCCGCGAGCTGGCTTTTGACTTCATCACAGACCCGTCCAAGACAGAATACGGCACCGGAGGGCGCGGTGCATGAGGAGTGCTACCGGGGGAGGGGCTGGGGCCACGCACTTCCCTCCCACCCTGGGGTGCTTGGTTCCCATGGGGACGGGGCCTGGACAGAAGGAGTGGGGCTGGGGGCTTGCCTCCCCCCGGCCTACCTTCACCCTCCTCCCACGGTGGCAGCCCCTCACTGTGGCAGTGTGGCCACGGCCGGGGAGCTGGCAGAGAGCTCTCTCAGCGCGCCAGGGAAACCACCTCCATGAGGGGGGTAGCTGACAGCTCTGGGGGTGCGGCTCCCAGCACTGTGCCGTTTACCCTGGCACGTTGCAGCGCCGGACCAGGCTGTGCTCAGGGCGGGGGGTGTTTTTTCACACCCCGGAGCCAGAAAGGTGCAGCGCAGTGACGTGGCCGTGCAGCCTTTGCCCTCGTGGCTGTATTGGCACGTGTGTCGCAGCTCACTAGCAGCCGTGTAGCACGGCGGGCTGTCATGGCCAGAAGCAACAGGGTTTCTCCCAGGTACCTGTGTCCTGAGGCCAGTGACTTGTTTACTCCCAGCATGTTCCAGAAAGGGAGCCAGGCTAGATCGGAAAATATCAAGACACGAGGCATCCGCCACTTCCATGGGCAGCGTGTGCCAATGGTTAACTCCACACGCTGTCGAGGGCGGGCCTGGTTTCTGAACTGAATTGATCTATTGCACCCTTCAAAGCGAGACTGGGGGCCTTCCGGGAACAGGGGCTTTAGTCCAACACACCTTACTGATCTCATCACTGGAGTAACTGGATGAAATTCTTTGTCCCCAGCTGTCCAGGAGCACAGACTAGATGATGTAATGGCCCCTTCTGGCCTTAAAACCTGGCTCTCTGAGTTCTGTCCCCTGTCTGACACTGGGTATGTATGTGAGTCACTGCAGCCTCCGCGCCTACATGAGCAGGGAGGGGGAGCAGATTTCTGAGTGTCACTTACCCTGGGTGGGTTCTTCATTTTCTCTCTCTTTCTGTTTTAGCTGAAAGATTTGCAAAAAACAATCTGTTACACAGGGCAAAGAGAAACCTAGACAAGCTGCAACACATCCTCTTGCCACCTCGAGGGTCCTTTTCCCATGTGCTTGTTCAGCCTCTCACTCAGTTCACTGCAGTAATTCTGTGCCTCTTCTCTGGAGCCAAGATCTTACTGCTCCTTAGAAGCAGTTGCCCGTTAAAAGTTCTTCTGGCACCTCCGACAGATCCCAAAATTTGAGATGGGATCAGGATCAGAAACTATCCAAAAGAAAAAAAAAAAGCAACTTTGACTGCATAGAGGTTGAGCTAAATAAGAATGAAAGCCAAAGAGATTATCTGGGGAAACAGAAGTAACTTGGCTCTAGAAGAGAGTCAGCCACTTTTAATGCATTCAGTTTAGAGGATAGCTCAAGCACTCGCCCTCCTGTGTATGCAAGGAGGCAGGGGCCCTGTGGAAAAACAAGATATGATCATGTCATTAAAGACTGTCCTCGTGTGCATGCAGAAGAGAGTTAAGCTAAGGTAGCACGGGAAACTTGAATTCTGGACTGCAAGATTCACCTTTTAGTGTAGTGGGGACTCTGTGTGTGTGTGTGTGTGTGTGTGTGTGATTTCTTAGGTTTTTAAAGAAGCAAACACCATAAACAGAACTTCTTTCTGGCTGTGTCTACACTGGCATGAATTTCCGGAACTGAATTTCAGTTTTTCTGGAAAAGGAGCGTCTACATTGGCAGGCTGCTTTTCCGGAAAAGCCCTTTTTCCGGAAAAGCGTCTGTGGCCAATGTAGACACGCTTTTCCGGAAAAGACAACTGGGCTGTCTACACTTGCCCTTTTCCGGAACAGTGTTCCGGAATAAGGACTTATGCCCGAGTGGGAGCAGAATAGTTTTTTCGGAATAGCGGCTGATTTTGTACAGTAGAGCATCGTTGCTTTTCCGGAAATTCAAGGGCCAGTGTAGACAGCTTGCAGCTTATTCCGGAAAAGCAGCTGATTTTCCGTAATAAGTGGCCCAGTGTAGACACAGCCTTTGTGTTTGGGGGTGTGTGTAAGGGTTAAATAAGGTGTCTGGGTACTTGCTACCATGGAGATGGGGGTACAGCATGGGCAGGCACTTTCCCTCTTGTTTTCCTTCTTTCCTGCTTGCTTGGGATAGATAAGTACGTAACACAAGGATGTAACTTTCAGTAAATGCCCTCTGTGTTAACAATGCTATCCTCCTATTCCCCTATCCACTCCCATTCACTCCAAAATACACGTTCAGGGTCACATCTCCTTCCTCTCGCAAGCTGCTGATTCAAAGAGTTTTGTGATGTGAGAACTGCCGACATCAAACAAGCTGCTGAGTTTTGTGATATGAGAACTGCCGACATCAATTAAAAAGCTGTAAAATGCAAACGGGGTGGGGATTCATCCCCTAGTTATGATTATGCATTAGAGGGGTGTTCCCATCACTGATGTAGGGCTTAAGGTGGAATTGACACATATATTTACACACTAACTAAGATAAAAAGGTGTAACTGGGGTTAATTTATTGCTCACTCAGATCCCAAGGTTGGGGAGAGCGAGGCGGACGAGTATCTGCAATAAAACTCCCAGGGATCCCCACTCTCTAGATTTGCTTCTGTCCAGCAGCCATGAGAGTTTTGATTCCACAAGTCTCTGATGTTTGCAGGAAGCGTGCCCTCCTCTCTAGCTGTTCCCCTTCCAGCAGACAGCCTATTGCACTGACCAGCAATCGCTGAGACATGCCACCTTACAGAACATGGAACAGTTTATTAGTTGTTCCTCATGTCTGCTTCTTATGGGGCAATGAGGCTGAACAATTTTTCCCAGTGGCTATGGCTAGCTCCCCTGGGCAGAGTTAAGGGTACGGGAAAGGGGTTGTGTGTGTACATCCTCATAAGTCATAAGGCAGCACCAGGCAACCCTAATTCTGCATTATTGAAATCCTCACCCGGAAAGCTATTCCTAGTGCTAGATAGTCCCTCTCTGAGAGCACACAGAAAGGCAGGGGTTCAGCGCTGGGAAGCAAGAATGACAACAGGCCCAGAAAAATTGTCACAGGTTGGTGGTAGTGGTGGTGGGGGGTTAATAAAGAGATGAAGAAGATGGGAAAATGATACAGGAAAAAGTAATAGAAAATGGCTTAGAGAAGGTCAACAGTATGGATATGGATTACAGTAGACGAGAAGCTGGATCTGAGACAACAGGGTGTCCTTGTAGCCAAGAAGGCTAATGGCATATTAGGGCGCATTAGGAGGAGCATTGCCAGCAGATCTAGAGAAGTGATTATTCCCCTTTATTCGGCACTGGGGAGGCCACATCTGGAGTTTTGCTTCCAGTTCTGGGCCCCCTATTACAGAAAGGATGCGGACGCATTGGAGAGGGTCCAGCGGAGGGCGACCAAAATGATGAGGGGGCTGGAGCACATGACCTA